TTCAGCTCCCTCCAAAGATTTTCTATTGTGTTCAGGTCTGGAGACTGGTACGGCCACTCCAGGACCTTGAGATGCTTCTTACAGAGCCACTCCTTAGTTGCCCTGGCTGTGTGTTTCGGGTTGTTGTCATGCTGGAAGACCCAGCCACGACCCATCTTCAATGCTCTTACTGAGGGAAGGAGGTTGTTGGCTAAGATCTCGCGATCCATGGCCCCATCCATCCTCCCCTCAATATGTCCTGTCCCCTTCGCAGAAAAGCATCCCCAAAGAATGATGTTTCCACCTCCATGCTTCACAGTTGGGATAGTGTTCTTGGGGTTGTACTCATCCTTCTTCTTCCTCCAAACATGGCGAGTGGAGTTTAGACCATAAAGTTCTATTTTTGTCTCATCACACCACATGACTTTCTCCCATTCCTCCTCTGGATCATCCAGATGGTCACTGGCAAACTTCAGACAGACATGCGCTGGCTTGAGCAGGGGGACCTTGCGTGTGCTGCAGGATTCTAATCCATGACGGCGTAATGTGTTACTAATTTTCTTTGAGACTGTGGTCCCAGCTCTCTTCAGGTCATTGACCAGGTCCTGCTGTGTAGTTCTGGGCTGATCCCTCACCTTCCTCAGGATCGTTGATGCACCACGAGGTGAGATCTTGCATGGAGCCCCAGACCGAGGGAGATTGACCGTCATCTTGAACTTCTTCCATTTTCTAATAATTACGGCAACAGTTGTTGCTTTGTCACCGAGCTGCTTGCCTATTGTCCTGTAGGCCATCACAGCCTTGTGCAGGTCTACAATTTTATCCCTGATGTCCTTACACAGCTCTCTGGTCTCAGCCATTGTGGAGAGGTTGGAGTCTGTTTGATTGAGTGTGTGAACAGGTGTCTTTTATACAGGTAACGAGTTCAAACAGGTGCAGTTAATACAGGTAATGAGTGGAGAACAGGAGGGCTTCTTAAAGAAGAACTAACAGGTCTCTGAGAGCCGGAATTCTTGCTGGTTGGTAGGTGATCAAATACTTATGCAATAAAATTAAGTTAATAATTTAACAATCATACAATGTGATTTTCTGGATTTTTGTTTTAGATTCCGTCTCTCACAGTTGAAGTGTACCTATGATAAAAATGACAGACCTCTACATGCTTTGTAAGTAGGAAAACCTGCAAAATCAGCAGTGTATCAAATACTTGTTCTCCCCACTGTGTGTGGCACTGAGTTGCAGTCTCGAGTGACTGCTCTAGGAACCAGTAGCTGTTGCTTGGCTCCCCTGGTATTACTACCTATTCCCATCTGGGCCCTGTCCATGAATTGAGCCATGTGCCTACGCATCTTAGCCGCTATGATGCCTGACAGGAGCTTCCATGTTGTGCAGAGGCAGGTTATTGGCCTGTAGTTGGATGGGTTGTTCCTTTCTGGGGATCCTTCATGATCAGGACTGTCTGTCCTTGGGTTAACCATTCTGGGTGGGTCCCATCCATCAGCAGTTGGTTCATTTGTGCTGCCAGGCGGAGTGCAGTTAGTTTCTTCAGCCAGTAGGTGTGGATCATGTCAGGGCCTGGTGCTGTCCAGCTCTTCATCCCTGCCACTCTTTCTTGGATGTCTGCCGTTGTAATGGTTACTGGATCTTGTTCTGGGAGATTGCTGTGAGCTGTTTTTAGATCCACTAGCCACTGAGCATTGGTGTTGTGGGATGCCTCTTTCTCCCATTTGCGGCATTTGTAGAAAGTGAGTAGTTTGTGCATCGGCTTAAGTTTGCTAGATGATGTTTTGTTGTTGTTCAAGATTATCAATGGATTGTACTGTAGCCTGTGTTTCATTTTATTACTGTATTATTGTGTATTGTATAAGTAGGCACATCATGAGCATTGTACAATCCAGAGTCAAATTCCTCCTGTGTGTACACATACCAGGCAATAAAGCTAATTCTGATTTTCATTCATTCCAATGGGGATTACCAGGATAAGCCTGGTAATATTCTTCATTTGTTCTTATTGCCAACAAATTCATCAGAAATAACAAATTCTTGTTGTCCGTATAGACGAATACAGCCTGATCTGTACGTGTCACATCCAACAGCAAAATCACTGAATATGTTTGAGTCTCCACAGACCAAACATTTTAGACCCATTCCAAGACAGACGTGAGGAAAACCTACCTAGCCTGCAAGAACATTTACAAAAAAAGAGACCTGATCTGATGCAAGTAGATCTGAACAGATGCAAACAGAGCAGAGAAAGAGAGAGAACATTAGCAGCAGCAAAAGCAGCCTTGAGGGAAAAACATTCAGTTAAATTCCAACTATCCTTTCACTGAAGCCCAACACTAGCCATGTTTCCATCAATGTTTTTTTATGCACATTTTGAAGTATCACATTAGAAAGGTTGATGGAAACAGTAAAATCCTTAATTTCGCTAAAACATTTTTATGCTCGCTTGAGGTGTTTTTTCCCTTCGTCGAAAAACTGTTAATCCGCCAAATGTGAGATGAAAACACTTTTATCGAATAATTTCTGATGTAGTGAACTTGTAACTCACATCTGCTGTCGGCATCTTGCCGGATATTCTCATAACACGAGGAGACATGGCTGGTAGCTCTTTTGCCCGCTTGAAGCACATTCCTGAGGACCTCTCTCCATTTTTCTAAGATGGCCATCAGGTTCCTACGACTGGGTTTGTTTCTGGTTTGGAACCCATAGGTCTTGTTTATTACAGCCTACTGATGTAACTACACTTACCGTAGCCTGGTTTATTCGCTCCAAACCAACTGATGGAAACGCACCTATTTTGCATTTACTTTTTTTTTTTGCGACATTTCAAAAGTCCGCTTAAAATTCGCATGACAATTAGATGGAAACATGGCTAGTGGAACACTGTGTGGAAACACAAAAAGGAAATGTATTTAAAAAAAACTAACTTTGGAAGATATCTACTTGATTTGACTAACTCAGACTGCTGAAGCTGCATTTAGGCTTCAGATACACTTTGGAATGTATTTTTTCATGGAACGAGAGCAGTGACAAACATCCCTCATCACTCTGTATCATTCAGGACAATAAAAGATCCTTTAAGGAATGGATCTTTTATTGTCCTGTATCTTGTATGATACAGAATACAGCAAGCAAAACCTGTTTCCTGGGTGTCTGACTACTGTTTTTAAATATACTTAAATACACAGAAAAATTACCATATATTGTGGCAGTGACCTTCAGTGGCCGTACAACGCATGACAATGAGGATTTGTTGACAATAAAAAAAAATATATATAGAATCACACCAGCCTTATCCTTTAATGCTCTAAGCTTGTCAAACTAGCAAAGCAGCGTGACACAGAACCACAGTGTGGAACTACTCCCCAGAGAACAACTGTCACGAAATATCCCATGTACAGAAATTGCATGCAAATACAACTCACACATACTTTTAATAAATTAGTAAAGCCTGCAGCATTGATTACACTTTGGCATTATTCCATTGAGAAAGGAATGTGCACTGCCAGCAGCCAAAACTGCAATCACTGTTAAGACTAAAAGCAAATATTTCAGGCCACAACTGCAGCCTGTGAACTGCAGCAGCAGAAAAGGAAGAGAGAGAGGTTCACAAAAGCACTAACATCATCAACGAGAATCTCTAACATTGTCCGTCCCCTGACTTCAGCCAACATGCAGCGTGATGAAAGCACAGACTGTTATGCAATATGCAACACAGGTGGCAATCTGATCTGCCACTCCACACAGAACTGTTTGAGCTGAGAGATTAAACTAAATATCCAACTTGAGAGAACACAGCTTCTGTAATGAGATAATTGTTGACACAATATACAGCATGCTACTGCAGGCTGCCAGAAAATGACATAATCAAACAGCAATATTATTGAATAAAATATAATGTTGTTACAATATATTAATGCGCTTTTGAATAATGCAAAATACTGGGTAACAATGTTGAATTAGACAATATGAAGTAGCCTATTAAGAAATACATGATATTGTTAGACATGTCTTAGAAAGGCCTCAGTATTATAAACAGCTGTGGTTAAAGGATTTAGCAGCATCCCGATTTTTACAGGAATGGTTAAATCTGAGCCCTCCGCCAACCAAAACGTATGCGCATCTAATAATGTGTGTAAGTTTGTGTGTGAGACACACATGGAGACGAAAGAAGACACCAACTACACACAGCGGCCACATACGTCTCGCCACAGAGGCGCGTCACGCGTCGATTCCTCCGAACTGTCTCCTCCAGTAACACCCTGACACAAACCACGCCGTGTTCAGTTACCCACCTCAGAGTGAACAAGTGAAAACACCTCGCTATGCAGCACAACTGAATGTCCTATCTAGACCATTTTATGTCCCTTTGTCGGGAAAACGTACACCTGCGCGTATATCTGTAACTACATGCTATTTTACAAGAGGTCCTCCTGCTATTCTTAGCAAGATAGTGGACGGTAACTTATGCCATAGAGAGCAGCGTCAGTCAAGTTACAATACAATTTCACAAAACCTAATTCTTTTTCAGGGGTTATATCTATGCCGAAAACACACACTACCCCTGTCAATTCAGAGTTGATATCCAGCCATATTCTACGAGCTATATAGATTTGCAAGCATGGGAACCTTAAATTGTCAGTATGGTACATGGAATTTGGCGTGACGGTCTACCCGTGGTGGAAACCCGCACGTAGTCTACTGTCTGACCTACCTGGTTCTGTGGAACCGAAGAAAGGTCTAGTAGCCATGGCTACCGTTGATGTAACATTAGCAAAGATTAAAGGGCAGCACATCAGTCATGCACGAGACAAATAGTGTTAAAATCTGCCGGAGCTGCATGGGTTTGCAGAAGAAAGAAAATGGAAGGAAAGCAAATGCAGACAGTTTAAATTCTTAACTGCTAAAATGTTTCTGGCGTAGTAACGTTAACAATGTCATTTCATATCAGCTGTCTAATGGGTTGTTATTATCGAGTAACCTTAGCCGCCAATAAACCAATGTTTCTGTCTTACCTGGCTAACGTTACCCCTGCGGAGCGAACCCCAGCCGACGACTTGTTTTTTCTTCCTTTCCTCGCTATGCCCGGATAGCAAACAGCGACACGAGATGCTTCTTCGGCCGGTTGTCAAAGACGAAATGTCGGTGATGCCTCCTCCCAAACATTCGCTCGGCCGGAACGTAAAGCAGTGACGGTAGTGGGAGAGTGCTGCTAATAAATACTGGTTGTAAACATTGACAGTTCGTCTCGCGAGAACACATATGTCTGACTCTCCTGTCAAACTGTATGCAAATGTCTGTGGTGCCAAATTTCCTCAAGCCATAGACAATCAGTGCTATACTGTAGTGATTCACTGATTGTGGAAGACGTTGCATTGCGTCACCATATGAATGTTAAGGCTTTAATTAAATAGAAAAAGAAGAAGACATACTTTATTAATCCCACAAGGGGAAATTCAATGTACTGACTAGGCACACTGGACACACACACTCAGTAGAAAAGGCATTGTGCTGCTCCATTACATTAACAATTACTCATTTAGCTGACGCTTTTTTTAATCCAAATCCACCTACATATATGCCTATATGTCAGAGGTCGCACGGCTCTGGAGCAACTAGGGGTTAAGTGTCTTGCTCAGGGACACATTGATTCTTAATAGTAGTGAATAAATCGTAGTAGTAACAATGAGTACTGGTAGAGTTTATGTGGAATTAATTACAAATCCTTAAAATCCTTAACAACAGTATTATTAGGAGTATACTAGAGTATTGAAGCAGATAAGCACACTAAATATTAAAATTGAGAGTATTGAACATTAAGTATTAAGTATTAAAACAGATAATGTTGCACAGAATGTGAGGTATTGCACTACAAGGTCCAGTTGAATGACTAAGGGCATACTCACACTAGGCCCGGTTGCCTTGTACCATACCCTAGCATGCTGGCCTGCACTCACATTGTGCCTAAAGCCGCGTTTCAACCAAAAGTACCCGGGACTTTTCACTCGCCGGAACTAAAAGCATCCTTCATCCCGTTGTTGTGTTGATGCTGATGTATACGCTGTACAAAGCGACGGACTATGCTATGCTTGCCCACTAAAACCAGCTTTTTTGTGTGGGATTATAATGAGGAGACACACGATATATGTTACAAATTTAATAACTTAATAACTGTGTAACGCCATGAAGTTCATAAAATAATATGCTTCATCATGTACATCTTTTTACATGGCGAAACATCAAACTTCAACGTCACGCCATGGACATGCTGTTTGATCAAAAAAGCTTTACAATTTAACTTCGTAAAGCTGTTAAGATGGTGCTGCTCTTATACAGTTCCCCAAGAGCTTCTGTCAAAACAAATGATCATACTTCTCCATGCTTTAGTCTCCAGAGGGGTACCAGGCAGGGTTGCCCACTCTCTCCCTCGCTATTTGCTATTTTTATAGAACCACTAGCAGCTGCGATCAGACAAAATAATAATATTAAAGGAATTCAAACAGAAAATATACACCATAAGATAAGCCTTTATGCAGATGATGTATTACTTTTCCTCCTAAACTCACAAACTTCTCTTTCTGAGACAATCACACTTATAGATAAATTCTCATCCATCTCAGACTACTCCATTAACTGGAGTAAATCCATAGTTTTACCTGTAAAGTGTGATTTCCAGAGTATATCTACCACACCGCTAAAGTCTGGGAATATTAAATATCTGGGTGTCAATATTTCTTCCAGGCTGTCAGAACTGACATGGCTAAACTACACGCCTTTACTTAAATCTATAGAGGATGACCTTGTACGGTGGACATCATTACCTATATCACTCATGGGAAGAGTCTCCACCATAAAAATGATGGTCCTACCTAAAATCAATTATCTGTTTTCAATGTTACCCACCAAACCCTCTGCTGTCTGGTTTAAATCACTGGACTCAAACATCTCAAAATTTTTGTGGAAAAATAAACCCCCACGAATCAGTCTAAAAACTATGCAAAAAGCAAAAGACTGTGGTGGTTTAGAACTGCCAAATTTTTATCATTACTTCCTGTCTAATAGACTACAATATATCTCAAAATGGATCAATCAGAGCCCCCTGGACCACTCATGGATGGACATAGAACAAACCTTCTGTAATGAAATTAAAATTTCCGATATGCCATTCATCAGTTCCAGCATCAAACGTCATACCTGCTTTAAAAGCATTAACATAAGCACTTCCTTGGCAGCTTGGTGGGAACTTCTCAAAATATCTGGGTCTTCACCTATCCCATGCAGATTTACCCCAATCTGGAATAATCCTGACATCCTGCAAAATAAGAAAACACTAAATTCCCCACTGTGGTATGACAAAGGGATAAGACATCTAGAGCATGTAATGCAAGGCAGTAACTTTATTCCATTCCAGGATCTAGTGGCACAATATGGAATTAGCCATAATAGATTTCTGGAATTTCAACAGTTTAAATCCATAATTCAGGCTAGATTTAAGGATAAAATAATGGACTTAGATTTACCTCCAATGATAACAGACTTTCTTAAACTCTCGCCTCCAAAACTGTTATCAAAAGTATACATGTTACTGTTAAAAACAGATAGTTCAATCTCTCTCCCATTCTTAAAATGGGAAACAGATCTATCCATTAGTCCAGACCAAAACTTTTGGATGCAGATATGTTTAAATACCTTTAGAATGACTACAAATCCCAATCTACAACTTATACAGTATAAAACTCTCCATAGAACACACTATACTGGACAAAGGATGTTCAGAATGGGTCTTATGCAGTCAAACATCTGCCGGAACTGCTCAGGTAACATATCTGATAGTTACATGCATGCTATGTGGCAATGTACACCTGTTCAAAAGTTCTGGCAGAAGATATGTGAAGACCTATCGATATGGCTAAGTTACCCCGTCCCAGTTTCCCCATCACTCTGCGTGCTGGGGGACCTAAGTGACATTAGTATAGAGGTTGACACATCATACATGCTTCTCACTGCCTTATGCATCGCCAAGAAAACTATCCTCATGAACTGGAAGGCCAAAAAGAATATAAGTATCACCCAATATCGGAATCACCTTATAGATCACATTAGCATGGAGAAAATGTCTGCTGTAAAAAAAAACAAATTGACACAATTCCAATCTCTCTGGTCCCCCTTGATCAACTTTATCACTTAATGGGGGTGGGTGTGTACTGCCTTGCTGGTCAGGGTCCCGTACGGCTGGTAGGTGTGTCTGGGGGTGGGTTGATTCTTAGATGCATTGCGGTGCGGGCGTGGGGGACTTTTTCTAATTTTAAATGTTGGTTGATGGCATGGTGTTGGCGGGGGGCGGTGATGCGGCGCTCGGGTTGCCTAGGGCGCGGGCTTGACGGGGGGACCGGTGTTTGCCCTGTATTCGGCGTGCCGCTGCTGCGGGGTGGGTAGCCACTCTGCTTAGGTGTCACGAGGTTGTTGGTATCGGTGCGCGGGTGGTGATTTTGACTCGCGCGCTGTGCGGATGTGGTGGCGCTCGGTGCTTGGCTGCCTCCCTGTGTGTCCTGTGTGTGGGTCCGGGTTGGGGGGAGGGGGCGGGCATGGCGGTGGAGGTTGGTGGGGGGGATGCTTGTGGTGGGTTTCGGTCTAGTGGTGAACGTGCGGCATGGGTCACGGTGTAGCCGTGGGTGGGGTCTGTGGTCTCTCTGGCTGCGGGGGGGATGGGGGCGGTTTGCGCCGGCTGGCATCTCTCCTGCGCAGCGCATTACTTGGCTGTTGTGTGCCGCTAGTTAGATTGGTAGCGGGGTAGTGTTGATTGGCTCATCTGTAGGTCATTATTGGCTCGCTATGCCCGGATAGCAAACAGCGACACGAGATGCTTCTTCGGCCGGTTGTCAAAGACGAAATGTCGGTGATGCCTCCTCCCAAACATTCGCTCGGCCGGAACGTAAAGCAGTGACGGTAGTGGGAGAGTGCTGCTAATAAATACTGGTTGTAAACATTGACAGTTCGTCTCGCGAGAACACATATGTCTGACTCTCCTGTCAAACTGTATGCAAATGTCTGTGGTGCCAAATTTCCTCAAGCCATAGACAATCAGTGCTATACTGTAGTGATTCACTGATTGTGGAAGACGTTGCATTGCGTCACCATATGAATGTTAAGGCTTTAATTAAATAGAAAAAGAAGAAGACATACTTTATTAATCCCACAAGGGGAAATTCAATGTACTGACTAGGCACACTGGACACACACACTCAGTAGAAAAGGCATTGTGCTGCTCCATTACATTAACAATTACTCATTTAGCTGACGCTTTTTTTAATCCAAATCCACCTACATATATGCCTATATGTCAGAGGTCGCACGGCTCTGGAGCAACTAGGGGTTAAGTGTCTTGCTCAGGGACACATTGATTCTTAATAGTAGTGAATAAATCGTAGTAGTAACAATGAGTACTGGTAGAGTTTATGTGGAATTAATTACAAATCCTTAAAATCCTTAACAACAGTATTATTAGGAGTATACTAGAGTATTGAAGCAGATAAGCACACTAAATATTAAAATTGAGAGTATTGAACATTAAGTATTAAGTATTAAAACAGATAATGTTGCACAGAATGTGAGGTATTGCACTACAAGGTCCAGTTGAATGACTAAGGGCATACTCACACTAGGCCCGGTTGCCTTGTACCATACCCTAGCATGCTGGCCTGCACTCACATTGTGCCTAAAGCCGCGTTTCAACCAAAAGTACCCGGGACTTTTCACTCGCCGGAACTAAAAGCATCCTTCATCCCGTTGTTGTGTTGATGCTGATGTATACGCTGTACAAAGCGACGGACTATGCTATGCTTGCCCACTAAAACCAGCTTTTTTGTGTGGGATTATAATGAGGAGACACACGATATATGTTACAAATTTAATAACTTAATAACTGTGTAACGCCATGAAGTTCATAAAATAATATGCTTCATCATGTACATCTTTTTACATGGCGAAACATCAAACTTCAACGTCACGCCATGGACATGCTGTTTGATCAAAAAAAGCTTTACAATTTAACTTCGTAAAGCTGTTAAGATGGTGCTGCTCTTATACAGTTCCCCAAGAGCTTCTGTCAAAACAAATGATCATACTTCTCCATGCTTTAGTCTCCAGAGGGGTACCAGGCAGGGTTGCCCACTCTCTCCCTCGCTATTTGCTATTTTTATAGAACCACTAGCAGCTGCGATCAGACAAAATAATAAT